CTCCAAAGGGCTGGAAATGTGGGTTGGAGGAGGGCACCATGCTCCACATGTGGTGGTCATGTGCAACATTATCCTCTATGGTCCTCTATAGAGAGAGGTGGAAAGCCTTCTCTCATCAATGGAGCTCCCGAGGGTGCCCTTCACCCCTAGTAACTACCTTTTATTTACGCCCACAAATGTTGGATCTTTCTCAAAGAATGCTCTACGCAAAATTATTTCCCAAGTTGCACGCCATCTCATAGCTCTAAACTGGAAGAGCCCTCATATACTCTCACTGCAAAAATTGAAAGACAGAGTGGATATATACCACATTATGGAACTTATAGGGCCCCCCAATGTTAGACAACAGCACAAAATAGATGCGATCTGGGCAATAGAAATACAAACAAAATAGTGCAAAGCAGTCATGGGGCCATGGAACTCGCTTGGGATGTGCTGAGTTGGGCAACAGTGTGGTGACAGTATAGTATGATCTCTTTTACTGATATACAAAACCCAGTGCACTTCACTGATTCTTTCATGGATTCTTTTGTTGATTACTTTGTTTTAAATTCTTTGTTTCTGTTTGCTAAAAAGGCATTGTTGTAACAGTGTAACCTAATTGCTTGAGTATGTACGGATTATTGAAGCATTCACAATGTTCAACCGTATGTACCTTTGCTTGAAAATGCCAATAAACTAGTAATGGAAAACAAAAATGCATCCATCGCCTGCGCAGAATGAGTGTCATGACAAGAGAAGCCTTAAAAAATGCGTATTAGAGTGGTCTGACGGTAAAGTCTCATTTCTCTTGAGACTTGCAATAAAAATAATTGTTACGGGGGCATTCGGACTTTAGTCAATAACACCAATTCTCAATCAGCAAAGCTTCTTTTCAGCTCATGCTGTGATGAGGCATATATACTCTCACAAGGCAATACAATTATACAATGCACATACATTTAAGAAAATATAATTATAAAAACACCTGTCTATAGCACCCATTTTATACCTGTTTAAACATATACAGGGTTGCTTACTAAGGTGAGAATTGTCAGGAAACCAATGTGATTTCAAATTTATGGTCAAAATAGATGAACTGGAAACAATCTCCAAGTCAGCTATGCTACGTTGGCCTAAATTTGAAATTTACCTTGAATTTCCGACAATTCTTAATTAGGTGAATATATAGTATTTTAGCACATATGTGTCTGTATGTGAATGTATTTGACATTTACGTAACATGGCATTGATTCATTGAGGTTTTCAGAAAGAATTATGAATAGGATGATGACTGTAACTTGTGGTCGGGTTAAATTGAAAATCTGTCCAGAACTGAAAATACAGAAGTACTGCTGAAAATGTTCTTTTTTATTTTGTGAACACTCAGCATTTTTTGTCACATAACAGAAGAACATGGAACCAGTGGGACCTGCAGAGGACAAAATAACCATCTAAATATTTTCATATTTTTATTTTAAAGGCAAATACTATTTTCAGTGCTGCCAACCATCTACATATCACATTCTGATTTACATTATTTCATATTCTATGTGTTTTGCTGAATGATCTATCACAGTAGGCAGATTCACATAAAAATGATTATTGCTGCCCATGTTCTGCCAAAACTGGGGGATAACTGAAGAGTTACATACTCACACATCTAAACATATACAATGATCAAGTATTATGTACATTTATCAGACTGATTAATGGTTTTAAAACAAATAATAGAAAAAAACCCAGAATTTACCAATTTGTATTCAGATAGCACCCCAGGGACTCCAATTTGTAAAAGTAAAACTTAGCTTTTATTGCTCAAAAATAAAAGATTGACGTTTCAGTTTGCAATCCAAACTTTCATTAGAATGCAAGTTTGGATTGCAAACTGAAATGTTGATCTTTTATTTTTGAGCATTAAAAGCTAAGTTTTATTTTTACAAATTGGAGTCCCTGGAGTGCTATCTGGTCTATTGATGCTGATAAGCACTGGGCAAAATACACCGGTAAGCTGGAGTGCAAGACTATTTTTTTATTTATATATATATATATATATATATATAGGAGGGTTCTGGGCAGGGAGAAGGGGTCCGAAAATCAGTCAGTATTTGGTGTGACCACCATTTGCCTCACGCAGTGCAACACCTCTCCTTCGCATATATGGATATTGGCAGGACCTGTAACACGCTGTCGTATATGCCAATCCAGAGCATCCCAAACATGCTCAATGGGTGACATATCTGGTGAGTATGCTGGCCATGCAAGAACTGGAATGTTTTCAGCTTCCATCAATTGTGCTCAGATCCTTGCAACATGGGGCCGTGTATTATCATGCTGCAACATGAGGTGATGGTCGTGGATGAATGGTACAATAATGGGCCTCAGGATCTTGTCACGGTATATCTGCGCATTGAAAATGTCACCAATAAAATGCACCTGTGTTGGTTGTCCATAACATATGCCTGCCCATACCATAACCTAACTGCCACCATGGGCCACTCGATCCACAAAGTTTACATCAGCAAACCATTCACCCACACGACGCCATACACGCTACCATCTTCCTTGTACAGTGAAAATCGTGATTCATTCGTGAAGAGAACATCTCTCCAAAGTGCCAGACACCATTGAATGTGAGCATTTGCCCACTCAAGTCGGTTACGATGATGAACTGCAGTCAGGTCGAGACCCAGATGAGGACGACGAGCATGCAGATGAGCTTTCCTGAGACGGTTTCTGACAGTTTGTGCAGAAATTCTTTGGTTATGCAAACTGATTGTTGCAGCAGCTGTCCAGGTGGCTGGTCTCAGACGATCTTGGTGGTGAAGATGCTGGATGTGGAGGTCCTGGGTTGGTGTGCTTACACGTGGTCTGCAGTTGTGAGGCCGGTTGGATGTACTGCCAAATTCTCTGAAACGCCTTTGGAGACGGCTTATGGTAGAGAAATGAACATTCAATTCACAGGCAACAGCTCTGGTGGACATAACTGCAGTCAGCATGCCAATTGCACGCTCCCTCAAAACTTGCCACATCTGTGGCATTGTGCTGTGTGATAAAACTGCACGTTTTAGAGTGGCCTTTTATTGTGGCCAGCCTAAGGCACACATTTGCAATACTCATGCTGTCTAATCAGCATCTTGATATGCCACACCTGTGAAGTGCATGGATTAGGGAAATCAAATTCAGGCCTATGGCCTTTTACACACATATGTGTGTATATATGTATATATATATATATATATATATATATATATATATGTGTGTGTGTGTATATACAGTGGTGTATCCTGGTTTTGTGCTGCCCTAGGCAGGACAAAACTCAGGCGCCCCCCTCCCCCCCGCGCCACCCCCACCCAACCCTTCCCCCCGCCCCACCTTCTAAATACACACACACACAGTCAGACACATACACAAACACACACAATCAGACACTTACACAAACACACACACAGTCAGACACATACACAAACACACACACACACAGTCAGACACATACACAGACACAGTCAGACACAAACACACACACACACACATACACAGTCAGACACAAACACACACACACACAGTCAGACACACACACACAGACACAAACACACACACAAACACACACAGACACAGTCAGACACACACACACACAGTCAGACACACACACACACAAACACACACAGACACACACAGCACACACACAGTCAGACACATACACAGACACAAACACAGTCAGACACAAACACACACACACAGTCAGACACATACACAGACACAAACACACACACACACAGTCAGACACATACACAGACACAAACACACACACACACAGTCAGACACATACACAGACACATACACAGTCAGACACTTCCTATGAGCTGACTGCTCAGCTCCCTTGCGCGTCGGCTGCAGAGTGAGGCTGGGAACCGGAAGATGATGTCATCTTCCGGCTCCCAGCCTCACTTTGCGGTGCGCGAGGGAGCTGAGCAGTCAGCTCATGGGAAGTGCTCCCTCACCGGCCGCCCGCCTGCCAGCGCCGCACGCCCGCCCGCCCGCTCGGGATGTCAGTTAGCCGCAAGGCTAACAAGGCATCTGCCCTGGGCATTTGGGGGGCGGCGTTTTTTGCCGCCCCCTGAAAAATGCCGCCCAAGGCAAATGCCTTGTTTGCCTCGCGGCTAATACGCCCCTGTGTATATATATATATGAATGTTATATAACATAAAGGGCATATGTGATAAATATACAAAGTTATAGCTGTTTAACACATTTCTATCATTGCTTGATTGAGGTTATATGCTTAAATAAAATGTACATTTGCACTAGTCAATGTTATGTAATAAATAATTAAAAAAAAATATAATAGTTCTCTCTTCAGCTTATACCAAACCACCAAGTCCTTAAAACATACTTGAAAATGATTGCAGTGGAAAATTTGATAGGCGTTCTAAGCC